AGATCACTCCTAGAGGCCTTTAGACTGAGGATGGCAGGACAGTGTTTCTCAAGGCTTGGCTTCAGCCCACTCCAGGGCCCATTAGTTCCAGGATGGGAGGCCAGTCTGCATGCCTTGGGCATAGATAAGGAGGGGGCATGATGTGTCTTTGTACTCCGTCTTGCAGCTGAAGCATATGAAGGAGCTGGAACAGGAGAAGGATTTCCTGCTCCAGGGTGTGGAGATGTTAGAGCGTGCCCGGGAGTGGTATCACCAGCGCATCCAGTTTATGCAGGAGCGTCAGAGACTCCTGGGGAAAGACAAAACCAGCACTGTGAGTCTGGAGCTTGTTTTGTGGGTGCCAGTCGTCTTGGGAGGGTCTGGGCTGCCTTCAGCTGGGACTTCTTAGTGTGCGCAGTGTTGGTCTGACTCTGCCCACTCTGGCTCCTGGGGATAGAGTCCATCCAGGACCAAGTGTGTGCAAATCCCTCGCCCAGGAATCCCAGTGAAGGGGCAGTGAAGAAGCCAGGGATATGCACACAGGTGAGATTTGCTGGGAGGCTGGGACTAGCCATCCCGTGGCAGGAGAGGGAGGGACACAGCACGTTAGTCTTCCTCTCCTATAAGAGGCCTTAGTGGGGCCCCACTACGGCAGATTGCCCAGACAAAATTGCCCAATATGGAGGGTGGGTGACCCTTCCCCACAGGATGGCATGTTCTTACTGCTCACTCGCCAGCCATGGGACTTTCCCTGTGATCTCACTTGCAGGCTTCCCAAGGAAGGCGTAGGACGAGTCTGCCAGTTCCCACAAATGTTTGGATACGTATGTACCCTTGTCTGGCTGGGCTCTGCTGTTCCCTATTCACCTCCCATCAGGCCATAGACGGGGTCAGAATCCCAGTCTGAACAGGACAGCCACAGTCTTGGCCTTCACGTTGATTTTTTTTTTTTTTTTGTGATAACTCCAGATCTGATCCAGAGATTTCCCCTGTCCCCGTCTGACTCTCTGAATGAAGGGCATATCCCATTGTCTGCCTGAGCTTGGTACTGCTGAGTATACTGGGTTAGCTGGGATGCCAGTGGCAGATTGGTGCCCAAGCTCCGAGGGGTGTGTGCAGAGGGGTCTGGAGGCCAGTGAGCCATTGAGCCCTCTCTGCAGGGCAGCCTAATTCCCTGAGAGCTGGCCCCATAACACCTCCCAGCCTCTTCTTCCACATCCTCCAGGACTTCCTCCCTGATGGCAGCCAGAGCCACCTGGGGTGCCTGCTCCCTAAGCTGCAGGATGTGAACTGCTGCCTGAGTGACCTCCTTTCTGCTGTGGGCAAGGTGAGAGTGCTGGATTGGCAGCTTGCTGTTGTCTGTGTGAGCTCAGGGTCCCTTCCTGTCCCCTCTTACACTGATGGAGGGCTCATGTTGGAGCTGCCAGAGCTTCCCCTGGCTCTGGGGAGGGGGCTTGGCTCTGTCAGCATGACGAAGGATGGCAGACAGCCAAGAGGATAGCACAACTGGTCCCAGGCTGGACTAGAGGATGCTCAAGACATTTGGGGAGCTAAAGCAGGTCCCTAAAAGGTGTAGACTTTGTTGTGTGAATAAGGAAAACATCCCGCCAAGGTCCTGAGTCTGTCCTCTTGGAGCTGGACATCTTGGATGCCAGGCCACAAGGGCTTCTGGCAGGAGTAGGGCGTGCTGCCAGGAATGCTTCCTGTCCTTGTCCAGAAAAGCCTTCCTGGAGACCTCCTGCAGTGACCCGTGCTAATTGCACTGGCAGGATCTTAATGCTGGGCAGGACTTCTCTCAGTCCCCAACCCATCAGTTCCCAGTCTGCTGTAGAAACAGCTGTAATTCACCCCTTCTGGCTTTGGAGACAGGCTGGGGAGCGCCACCAGGAAGAAGACTTAATCTCTCATCTTCTCCCTTCATCCTCTCTTCAGCCAATGAACCCTTCCTCAGCTCTGAACAGGCTGGGCCCTGCAGCCCCTGTGGTGTCCCCAGCCTCAGCAGGATCCCAGCAAGCCATCAGTATGCTGAAGGAGCAAAACCGGCTTCTCACCAAGGTGAGCGGGGCTCAGAGAAGAGGCTATACTGTGCCCAGTCGGGTGCTGGGTAAGGACGCTATAGACATGAATGGCACATCTCTGCCTTAGGAAAAGGACTTTGTGACAAATTCAGGCCACAAGAGGGTGCAGATGCTGCAGCTTGGGATGCGCAGCCTGGGCTGCCAGGTCTGTTCAGCGTGGCTGGTGGGGAATGATTGCAAATGCCCTCTGACAGCTCTGCCAGGGCCAGGCTGACTAGGCAGGGGTTTACATCGCAGCACCTTCAGCAAAACCGTGCACTAACTGATTTGTAAACAGTACTTTCAGTGTATATGTGTTTGGGGGCGGGGGCGGGAGGGCGTGGCAAGGGGAACAGCAGCTGGGCCTGGCAGCCAAAACTTGCACCGGTTCACTGGATGCCCCAGGAGGAGGAGAGCTCTGAGCAGGTGTTTTCCTTCTCTGTCCTGTGCAGGAAGTGACTGACAAGAGCGAGCGCATCACCCAGCTGGAGCAGGAGAAATCTGCCCTGATCAAGCAGCTCTTTGAGGCTCGGGCCCTCAATAACCACGAAACAAGCCAGCTGGACTCCACCTTCATCTAGCCTCTAGCTCCCAGAGCTGCCACTGGCCCCACACTTGAGCTCTCCCATGGCGTTTCATGGAGCTGGGACTCTTGCCCAAATCCCATTGCATCCATTACTCCTGGTGTTGTGTCTCAAGGCCTGTGGAGGTCCAGAACTGACCATTGTATGTCTGCACGAGGAAGCCGGAGGAAAGCGCTTCCCTGATCCCGCTTGGGCCAGCCTGGGATGTCTCCCCTCTTTGCTATGCTGCTGGGCTTGGTCAGCTGCACTACTTGCAAGCTGCTCCTTTTCTGCCTCTAAAACTGACTGCAGTGACTGTACCCCCTATCCTGTGTCCCCCATTGTGCTAGGTGCTACCTGCACTATGTGGCATTGGGGTGGGGGGCTGCTATACCTTTGGGCTGATTTAGGCTAAATTCTGGCTGCTCTCTGAAAAAGATGTATCTTGAACACTCCAGTTGGCATCTCCAAGCAAGCCTGGCCACCGAAGGAACAGCCTGTCCCTTGCTTATGGCTGTGTCAGAGGACTAGATTGAAAATGGTAATGGGGCAAGTGTGGCCCCTCCCTGCTGCCCGAGTTCTGCGTGCCACTGCAACCAAACTGGACTAGAGCAATACCTGAGCTGGTGCTCCTCCTAGGCTAATCTTGCTCTCCGTTTTGGAGTAGTGTTGACATAGTTGCTGTTTACACATCTGCAGTCTTCTGTAGTTAATGAGCCATAGACCCAAATGAGATCACATGTACCTCTGAGCTGCTGTTTCAGGCTGTTTGCAGATTCAGGCAGGCACTTCTGCATCAACTTTGTTTGACATGGCGCATGTTTCCTTATGGCTGCTAGGATTATATTTTTTTGTAATTACTTTAAAATGAGAGGTCATGTCCTACAGCATGAGGACTGCTGACAGAAACCTGATTTCAGAGGGGCTTTAGAAGTAGGGTACTCATCTAGCTGCACATGGGATGGAGAGGAGGCTGATGGGGTCTTTTCTTTGCACATCTCTATGTAGAGAAATGGCAGCTTTGCCTGTCCTGGTGTTGTACCTAGGCTCCCCTGGGTGACATCCTGGGTGTGAGCTGCACCCCTCTCCACTCTCTTGGTGTGGTGGTGGTAGTCTGTAGGCGGTAGTCTAAACATGTGTTGCTATTGGACTGGTGCATCTCGATATTTTTTCCTTCCCCCCCAGCGCAATGGCGATGCTGGGGCTGAATGGTGTCTTCCACTGTGTCTTGGTAGTTTGTATTTATGGTACTTGCATAGGAAGTCCTTGTGAATCCCCATGTAGCACTGGCCTGGCCCTTTGTATCCTGGCCTGGCACAGAATATTTCTCTCCAGGGTTGTTTCATGCCCTGACTCTCCTAGCCCAATGCCGTGGCACAAAGCACTGAGCTGGGCAGAGGGTACAGGGCCTGCTCTGCTCCAACAGATTCAACTCTGGCAGGCTTTCCCACTCCTGGGAAGATGCTGTTAGCTGTAGAGCACTGTCTGTCCAATCCAGCTCCTCTCCCAGAGTTGATCTTGAAAAAGAAAATTATTTCTTGACCTGCAGCTGACTGCAACAGATGCTGTCCCTGCTCTTCCCTGGTATCTGCTGCCTCTGCCAGAATGGGCATCAGCAAAGTGCCAGGGAGGGGGAGGAAGAGCCAGGCCAGGGTAGGTTGTGTCTCTGTTGCAGGAATAGGATGATATTTATCCCCTGGGCATCAGTTCCTCCCATCTCTTTCATGATGGGAGGCCAGTGCCTGTTTTGTCTGAGGCTTAATAAAAGTGACCCTCCTCCTACATTTCTTTCAGGGTAATAAAGTGGGATGAACTATTTAATTTATCTGTCTGTCTCTGCCTAACTCAGCCTATTTTCGACTCTGCTGTGAGCTTGAAGTTCCTGACAGTCGTGTCCTGAGGGATGGAGGGAAGAGAACTGATCAATCTCAGCCTGAGCACGAGTAGCAGAGTGGGCCTCTCTTGTAGGTCACGTTCCCATGCCCTTTCCCTCCCCCCCCCCCCCCCCCACTGTCTGTTCTTGCTACTGAGGGATGGGATTGTGAAGCTTCCTGCACCCTCTTTCCAGTGTTTGTACCAGCCTCATCCTGCAGCTGGTAGCTGCATCTGGCTGCTCCTCCAGAAAATGTGCTGGGGGTTCATGTTCCTCAGGTGGTGCTTTGATGTTATTAGCATTATTTCTTTTCAAGCAAACCACATTGGAGGTGGTGCCCATGACTGTGGGCAGCTTGCAGCTGTGGTGGTGATGCCTTGTAGCACCTCTGTAGTTACACTGAGATCTCAAGGGGACCTGTGCCTGGCAGGGTGCCCCATGACACACATGCCTCTGCCCTGCACCAAGGGTGGCAATACCCATGCTGGGCAAAGTGAGGGGCCCAGCAGAGGCAGGAGGTAACTTCTTTTGTCCATTAGGTGCATGAGAGCTTCTGGGCAGCATAGCTCTGGCCATGAGCTGAGACCTCCCTCCTTACACCCTACAGAGACTGACCTGCTCCCCTGGGCCCTGTGGGCTGCTGCTTTAGTGCTCAGCACCAACACAGAGGGCTCTGCCTGCTGCTGGGCACTTCTGGGGGGGAACAAACACCAGTGTGCTCCGGAGGATCTCTGTGGCTGCAGGAATGTCCTCTCTATGCCACCACCCTCCTCCTGGTACAGTAGGAGCAAGGCTGTCGAGGGTGCCTGTGCCAAGCCTCCAGGGCTCGGGAGAGGGATCTTTGCAGCGGTCTCTTTCAAGTGGCAGCAGCAGCAAGTCCCAGACAGGGCAAGGAGGGGGTTGATAGTTGCCCGCAGTTACTCTGTTTCACGCTCTCCTTTGATGTGAACTCTGTGAGGTCTTTTAAAGGAAAGAGAGGTTCATTGTCCAAGCTCAATGCCCCTCTGTACACGGAGCCCTAAGCAGCTCTGCCACAGCCCTTGTGCTGGGGCCTACTTCTGGTGGAGAGGAATGGCCTGTCCACCAGAGGCGGGGGCAGCACTGGCCTCATGCCTACTTCCCTGCAGCACTGCTGCTGCCTAAATGCTCCTGGCGGTGGGATTGCCTTCCTGAGGATGGGGTTCTTCCTGCCAGGGATCAGGGTTACCCTGCAGGGAAGCAGAGCTGGGAGCTGCAGGGCAAGGCTCTACGGTCTCTGACCATCCAGCAGCATGCCCTGGCCATGTGTCTCCTGGCTCCCTGACGAGTCTAGTCCATGCCTAATCCTCACCTGCATGCCTGGGGCCATGGCTTCTTTGTTCCCATTATCTGTGTTTGGTGGTTTCTTTGCAATTCAGCAGTACAGTTGCTGGGCCAGGAGCCATGAGACCTGGGAGTTATCCTTAGGTCTGTAAGTGATTCATGGGGTGACGGGGACAAATTCCCTTCTGTTTAGGCTATGTTCCCTTTAGAGCCTCTCACTATGTTTTCACAGGTCTAGCGAAAGCATGTTCAGGGACTCTGATGTCATCTGAATATCACTGCATGCACTCCAATAGACTGAATCACCCAGAGCAGGTCTCAGCTGCCA